AAAAATTCTTGAAAAATCTTTCGAAAGAGTCTAGCGTGACGGAAAATTCTACAGCCAGCTCGAACGTCATAATCTTTATGGATCCATCTCTCGATCGAGTCTGCGACCAAGCAATATTTTGTGGGATAAAAATGACGTACGACATACACGTGGATTAGTAATTTTTTTCAGGCTTGTTTGCGCGTACGAAGGATACCATCGAAATCCTCGACGCATAAAGAAGCGTCGAAAAGAGAAAACGTTCAAAAAAAAAAAAAAAGGACGCCCAGTATTTTCCGATCTTATAAATTACGAGATAAATCAGAATATTTCGTCATAATAGGATTATTGCAGGAAAATTTCGGAGAGCGCGAGAAAGGCGATTTTCACGTGCAATTGACCCCGGCTCGTGTACAACCGATGAATTAGAAATTTCGCTAGACGTAGGTGGAAGCCGGGGAAGAGAGGACCGGAGAGAGGCTGTAAACCCCGAAGGGTAGAGATCGTTCTTCCAGCGAGTTACACATAATGCCTCATAAACACCCTCAAAATGCCTGCCATCGTCCCTGATTTGCGTTGCCGCCGCGCCTGACACCGCGCCTGCAATAAACTTCGGTCTCGTTACCTCTCAGCCACGAAATCTCTGTGGCGAGATCTTCCACGTCTAGTGTCGCGAAACAACGTTTCGACATATCGCTATTTAAACGCTAAGATAATCGGTGAAATTCTTAATCGACGCGCAAGAGTTTGAGAAAAATTCTCCGCTCATGCGTCAATTAAATAATTTTTCCAACGTGATTGTTCGACGATACCCAACGACAAACTTTCCATCATTTAAGAGATAAGCTAGGAATTATAATTTTTGAAAGCGACAGCTAATAAATTTCTAATAAAAAAAAATTCTAATAAAATTCGAAAAATAATGAAAGAACGATAAATCGATGGGACGGCTTAATACCCAGACGTGAAAAATAATAGTTTCGAGAACTCGATATGCGCGAAGTGTAAAATCAATTTTGACTATTTGGCAGGATCTTGTGAAACGGAGCGTGGCGCGAAAATAGCGGCCAATCACCGCGAAAGGGAGGCGCGCGCGCTGGAAATGGCACCGGCACCCTTGGCGAAGTTAAAGTCCGGCGACGGGCGGGTAAAGCCGGGTTAAATGTCGTGGTTCACCGTAAAAACGCGGTCGTTTACCGACCCGGAGGAGGAGGGGAGAGGGGGTGGGGGAGAAGAAGGGGGCTCGGCCGCGCCACCATAAAATAAAACTACCCGACCGCCGAGCGCGTGTACGTTTACCGGCCGCACTTGGCGACGCGCACCATTATATAAGCTGTATAACTTTATTATTGTCGCGGAGCCGCGCGCGCTTTTAATATGGGCTAAGTCACGGTGGATCTTATAAGGGTAGAATCCTTTTTTACAAAGAAAAAAAAAATACAACGCGTTCTTCGAGTGAACGCGCGGACGAAACGCTAAAAATTAAGATTCAATATAAGTTTCTTAGAGGTAATTCGGGCATTTTTATTCGGCTGAAAAAAAAAAAAAAAAAAAAAATAATAATATACATACACGTGTCTCCTCTCGTTGTCGCCGCTGCTATTTTCTTCGCGCGGTTATTGCGACGCGACGAGATGACTGCTGTGTGTGACTCTCGCGTTTTATTTTGCGTATACGCGCGATTACCGGGGTGAAGGTGGTCAGGGGGAGGAAAGGAGGGAGGGAGGGCGGGAGGGGTACGCGTCGAACGCGTGACGAATTCCGCGCGATGCGCGCGTCATCGATTGAAATATTTGTGCCGAAAACATCGAAATTTAGTAAACGGCCGGACCAGTTACGAGTCGCGTTTCATCTACGCTTTCGCCGATATTGTTTCGGGTCATCGGCGGGACTTGGTGAACGAAAAAAAAAGAAAAAAAAAAAAAACGCGCTAACGTGCGAAAGCAAATTGAAAAACGCACTAAGTAAGAGAGAAGAGATATTTATGCTAAGAGAATTAGACGAGTTACACTTTGGCCTATCGTGTGGCATCCTTCAGTCGAGAAACAAAGTCTACAATTTTGCTAAAAAGATATATCGAATACAGAATGATACAGATTATACTTATCCTCCTAAAAATCGTTGAAAAATAATGCAAGTAATAGTATATTTTCTTGTGATATGAAAAAGCGATATTTCAAAATATATTCCTCGGACATGTCGACCGTTTGAAAATTTCGAGATAATCGATTAGGATATCTCATCTATCGGGCTACCGAATGTTGTCGACACGTCGAAAGGTAAAACGGCGAAATCGCGCGTGACGAGAGACTGGCGTATTTCAGGGAATCGCGTTTAAATGCCGGCGGCATTAACATATTCCAGCCTATCCGCGGGAACAAACATCGACGCAGCGGCGTCACTCGTTTTCACCCCTTACTTCCGGCACATTTGTGTTTTGTTTCCAGCGAACGGACCGCGCGCGAACGCATTGCCGTTTCGCACGTGCGTGCCATCGAGCATATCTGTCACGATAGCAATGAGTTGAATTCGCCAAGAAACTTTGATCCGCGAATATCAATCGCAAAAATTACGATTATTTAATATTTAATCAATTAAAATGTACAGAACGGCTATAGTTAAACATTTATAAAAAAAAAATATTTTATTTTACATCAACATATAATTTTTTTCATAAAGTATAAAATTTAATTAAACACACAAGTCGCGAAAGCGAAGAGGTTCACGAAAAATTGAACGTACTGTGAGTATCTCTCTCTCTCGCGGTCGGCCAATTGGACATGAATAATAGAGTCTACGCAAACCAAGGAGCGCGCTATAAAGTCCACGCCTTTATGGTTTTTGATCTGGCAACGAAGCCAAGGCAAGAGAATATGCATGATCTCCCATTGGGAGAATCTCTCGTCTCTCTTGTTTTACCGCCGGGCGATAATTCTTTCCCCGCCGCCCGACGCCTCAATTCTCATTTCTCGTTTCAGGGAAGAGCTTCACCCTGACGATCATGCTGCAGACATCGCCGCCGCAGGTGGCCACGTTGTCGAAGGCGATCAAGGTGACTGTGGACGGTCCCAGGGAGCCGCGTTCGAAGACACGTGAGTACAACTTTATCCACGGAGGATAATGCGGCGGTAACTTTTTCCATACTGAGGCTCTTATCTAATCGATGGGGGTAAAATCATTCGAAGAATCCAATTAACGAGACATATCGCGAGACGGAAAAAAAGTATATAAGATGTTGCCGAGCAGTCGCGATTCACCATCGATGTTGATTCATGAATTCATCCCACGTTGCAGGACATCAGGCCTTTCATCCCTTTCACTTCGGGCCTCGTCCGTTCCCCTTCGGACACCCGCAGGACCCGTTGGGATTTAAGCTGTCGGGTAAGTCTCTAATCAAAGACACGTGGCCTCCTTCGTCGCGACGGGTTCGCGCGAATACCTGCTTCCGGTGAGGCTCCAGTCTCTCTCTTTCTCTCTGTCTCTCTCGCTCTCTCTCTCTCTCTCTCTCTCTCTCTCTCTCTCGACACGTTTCCCCGTCGATAGATAACTAAGTTTGCAACCCTGTACCGTGCCCCTCACGGGAGGAAGGCAACTTTGGCGGGCCAGGCGGGTCGACGCCCTCTTCTCGCGCGCGTTTGGCTTCGTGGCTGCGAAGGGTGTCAAAATTGAGCGTCGGCAGGCACCGACTCAAAATTGAGTTTTGCCACCGGCCTCTAAGTGGAGAAGACTCTGATTAAGCCCCAGGCGTGCGAACTCTGCCTTTTCGTTTCGAGGAAGCTGCTCGATCCCCGCTTACGGAAAAGTCGCTCTCGAATAAACTTCGGCTCTGTTAACTTCGTCATCGAATGGTTCTCTTACACGGCTAAAATATTCCCGTATTGTATTTGACAATTCAAACAAATTCAAAGATTTCTCTACATTATTTTGATACATACGTATATATCACGACTTTTTATATTATTCGCGAATAGATATTTAATGAATACATGAGATCTAACGTTTCACATTAAACGAATTATAAAATACGTACGTCGGGATTGTTTTTAGCGGGCGATTAATCAGCCTCTTTCTTCGGGACGGTAATGCATTCGCTGTGATATAAACGATGGGGGTTTTAAACGTTTCATCGTCGCGAGCGTTTTCGAAAAAGTTTTCAGGTATCCAACCGGTTCGACAGGACAGTCGGGTGGCACGAATTCCATTGAAACTCGTTCGAAGCTCCAAATTTTGATGGGACTAGCCCGGAGCAGTGAGGGTCGGGTACTGATACTGGTGCACCGACAGTGTATTGTTTCGGCATGATAAGCGGCTTAACGGAGCTTCGCTCCCTCCTATCCCCGAGGCGTACTACGGGATGGCAGTCCTGCCGTCGATTTCTCGCTGCTACCCCCGTCCATACCCCGTATCCCCCTTCCCGCTCCCCCTCCACCCCACGGTCTGCTCAATCAAGAATTAGCCACTGCCGCGCCCGGTAATACGCCGGAGCTTTAACTTTTCTTCCCTTTGCGTCTCTCGCCGTCACGATTTTTCCGCCGCCTCCGCGGACTCATGTTTCAAAACAATTTCTGACCGATGATTTATTTGATGATCGATGACATTCAGAAATCAATAATCCATTAGAAATTGAGCGTTAAATTTTAAACGATATTTAAAAAAGAATGAGAAACTGTTATGATTTTTGTATCGGATGTCAAAATGTCAGAAAATCTGATTACGATAATCTTGACAGACTTAATTTCATCAAAAGCGATCTCCAAGCTTTTTGTCAATATTAAAAGGTGCAAATTACATCAGAGATATACGAGTTTTATTGGGATATACGATTTTAACACATCGTACGGATAAATTGTATTTGCGCAATTGGGTCACCTACATTGTGTTCCGAGTCGGGTGCAAACGGTACTCTCTCGACGAATATCGATCAGTTTATTTCAAGTGATGTGTGCTCGCGAGTTTTTTCAACCCTTTCGCTCGGGGTTCGCCATTCGGCTCATAGGTTGCGCCTCCGTTCAGTCCGACGGAGGGTCGGTCAGTCGAGCACCTTTCCAACTTTCGAAACCGGTCAGCCGGGTCAGCCGGGTATCGCTGACTAGGTAAGGACGTTCAAAGAGAGAGGCGGTTTATTAGATATCTACGCTAGGAGGGTTGATAAGGAGAAAGGGAACAGCATCACCGGGGGAACGCGAGGACAAGTGGCTGGCCGTGCAGGGTTGTTAAGGTGCCCATTGAGGTGTAACTAGGGGGATGTTATTAAATTTCGTTCGGGCCTACCTCGACAGCAGGGACGAATTTTATGGGCTCCCTAAGGGCTTCATGAGAGCGCCAAAGTCCGATGGACGGACCGATGCGCTTTTACCTCCCTCTGATCTCAGATATCCACCGTTCTAATTTCGTCTTGTCCGTCAATTTCAATTGATCGAAATGACAATGTCCTTTATTCCTTCGGTATAATTCATTTTGTACTGCGCAAATATATTTATATTATGTTTTTAAAACCAATGTCTATGATTTTCACAAAAGCATTCTTTTTAAGAACCTTAAAATTCTTTAATACACACATTATATGGCGTATCTTTTTTTATCAAAAATTACTTACATTTATCGCAGTGAATATGTAAAGATAGTATTCTTTCAAATGTCAAAAAAGTCTGGGAATAATTTAAAAGACTTTTCCATCAATTTCAATTTATAGAAATGACAGGTCAGTCACTCTTTCGGTATAATTAATTTCGCAAATATATATATATGTTATGCTTAAAAACCAATCTCTATGATTTTCTCAAAAGAATTTTTTTAAAGAACTTTAAAATTTTATAATATACACGTTATATGGCGTATCTTCTTTTATAAAAAAATTAGTTACATTTATTGTAGCGAATATGTAAAGATAGTATTCTTTCGAATATCAAAAACGTCTGACAATAATTTCAGATTTTTCCATCAATTTCGATTTATCGAAATGATACGTCATTCATTCTTTCGGTATAATTAATTTCGCAAACATATATTTGTGCTATACTTAAAACCAATGTCCATGATTTTCACAAAAGCAGTCTTTTTAAGATTCTTTAAATTCTGCAATATACACATTATATGGCGTATCTATTTTTATCAAAAGTTGCTTACATTTATTGTGATGAATATGTAAAAATAGTATTTTTTCGAATGTCAAAAACGTTTGACAATAATTTGAGACTTTTCTATCAATCTTAATTTATCGAAATAACACGTCATTCACTCTTTCGGTATATAATTAATGTCGCAAATAATATTATGCTTAAAAACCAATGTCTATGACTTTCACAAAAGCATTATTTTTAAGATTCTTTAAATTCTGCAATACACACATTATAAAGCGTATCTTTTCTTATAAAAAATTACTTACATTTATCGTAATGAATATGTAAAGATAATATTACTTCGAATGTTAAAAAAGTCTGACAATAATTTCAAAGACCTTTCCATCAATTTTGATTTATCGAAATGATACGTCATTCACTCTTTCGATCTAATTAATTTCGCGAACATATTTGTGCTATACTTAAAATCAATGTCCATGATTTTCACAAAAGCATTCTTTTTAAGATTCTTTAAATTCTGCAATACACACATTATAAAGCGTATCTTTTCTTATAAAAAATTACTTACATTTATCGTAATGAATATGTAAAGATAATATTACTTCGAATGTTAAAAAAGTCTGACAATAATTTCAAAGACTTTTCTATCAATTTCGATTTATCGAAATAATACGTCATTCACTCTTTCGGTATAATTAATTTCGCAAACATATTTATACTTAAAATCAATGTCCATGATTTTCACAAAAACATTCTTTTTAAAATTCTTTAAATTCTGCAATACACACATTATAAAACGTATCTTTTCTTATAAAAAAATATTTACATTTATCGTAGTGAATATATAAAGATAGTATTCTTTCGAATGTTAAAAAAGTCTGACAATAATTTCAAAGACTTTTCTATCAATTTCGATTTATCGAAATGATACGTCATTCACTCTTTCGGTATAATTAATTTCGCAAACATATTTATGCTATACTTAAAACCAATGTTCATGATCTTCACAAAAGCAGTCTTTTTAAGATTCTTTAAATTCTGCAATATACACATTATATGGCGTATCGATTTTTATCAAAAGTTACTTATATTTATTGTAATGAATATGTAAAAATAGTATTCTTTCGAATGTCAAAAACGTTTAACAATAATTTTAAAAACTTTCCCATCAATCTTAATTTATCGAAATAACACGTCATTCACTCTTTCGGTATATAATTAATGTCGCAAATAATATTATGCTTAAAAACCAATGTCTATGACTTTCACAAAAGCATTATTTTTAAGATTCTTTAAATTCTGCAATACACACATTATAAAGCGTATCTTTTCTTATAAAAGAATACTTACATTTATCGTAGTGAATATGTAAAGATAGTATTCTTTCGAATGTCAAAAAAGTCTGGCAATAATTTAAAAGACTTCCATCAACCTCAATTTATCGAAATGACACATCATTCACTCTTTCGGTATAATTAATTAATTTTGCAAATATATTTATATTATGCTTAAAAACCAATGTCTATGATTTTCACAAAAGCATTCTTTTTAAGAATCTTAAAATTCTGTAATACACATATTATATAGCGTATCATTTTTATCAAAAATTACTTACATTTGTCGTAGTGAGTATGTAATGATAGTATTTCTTCGTATGTAAAAAGATTTAAATTTTGGCAATATTTCAACAGAGAAAGTAAATATGTCTGACTCTCTTCCTCGTTATAGCAATTTTTAAAAGTTTCACAATCGCTCAGAAGCGATCGTTAGCAAGCTCATGGAAAATTAATGTATCCGGTGACAGACATCACACAGATCGTCGCTGAGATTGTCCACGAACGAAAACACCGTGATCACGCGCCTCCCGGGAGGCCGAGTCCGTCGTCTTTGTCAGTCCGGCTAAGGGGATGAAAAATCGCGAGGTGCCAAGATTCGAGTTAACAAGAACAGCTCGTGCAGCCCCAATCTGCCCTCCCTCTTTCCGCTCTCTCGTGTCAATTAACCGCCTACGAGGGAGAGGCTGGGTAGCGGGTAGAGAGGTTGTGGAGAGAGAGAACCGGAAAAATCGCGACCCCTGTTTCAATAAGGTGGCCTTTACCTCATTTGGGGGAGATTGTTAGGAACGCTCAGTTTAAAACTGTCGCTTCGTTCCTGGATCGCTTTGCAGTAAATTCGTGACTTTCTTTAAAGCAGACCTCCCCCTCTTCTTACCAAACATATAATTTATAAAAGCTGATAAATACGAAATTCTTCATTTTCCACAAACTTTACTTTGAAACCTATTTTTTATAAATGTACCGCTATTAATATGACAGCACAAAATGTGCGTAAATCTTGCCGAGCGCTGATTCGCTTAATCATGATCAATCAGTTTTATCGCGGCCTGCTACGATCGTTGCATTATGTTTCTCTTTCAAACTTGGACGTACCTAATTTGCGACGCGTTTAAAGGCCTTTTTACACATATACACGGAAATCCGAACGCAACGGCAACCCTTCGGGCATATGTCCTTAAAGGGAACCTTTTTAAGGGTTGTTCCTGTCCACCCCCGTGTCGAATCACTGCGGATCCTTTAAATTCGCGTCACATTTCACCCCCCATGCGCGTCTTGCAAGGGCGTTCCGTCCCGGGGTATTCCGTCTTTTAATCAGGTCCGGCGACCGGGACCTTTCTCTGGAAGCGACGGTAACTAATGACGCTCTCTCTAGCCGGGTCGGTCTCCTCTCTCGTCTCCTTTCCTATCGTCGACACGAAAATCCACCGAGCCTAAGAGATAGAAACCTGATAGCGTCTCACAATGTCCTTGTAATCGATATTCATTCTCAACCTGATTTTCTCATAAGTTTTACACGTATGTACTGTCGTAAAATGAAAGCAATATACACTGTTATAGAATCAATATTTGCTATTAAAATTACTATTATTTAATAATATACATAAAAAGCTATATATCTAAGCTTTAATTATTACACACAATTATATGATTAAATATTATTAATTTTTAACACTTTAATAAAATTATGTAACTTTCTGGCATATACTTGTAGAATCAATGACTAATGATATACCAGCGTCATCAATATTAAAATTTGAATTATTTATATAATCATAAAATGTAATAAACGGTAAAGATAAGTAAAAAATTATGCATCGCTGAGCATCGCCAATTTCTTAAAAGATCCATCATTTTTGCGCTCTTTCTCGACTTCAAAGAGAAAATCTCGCGGCAGTGAGATGAAGATAGAAAAGTGGAGAGAGAGAGAGATAGCAATTTTCTCTCGTCCTTTCTCGAAATATCTCCTCGTGGAGCTTAGATCGGTGCCAGGGACCTTTCCAGGGTGGCATTTTAGGGGTTGCTGCGACGCGATAATGAGAACGGGCGCAAAGGGTGGGTGTGCAAAGACATCCAGCCGGCAGTAGCTAGAGGATAGAACACGCGGAGTGGAAAGAGGAGCAATGAACAAGTCGGAGAGTAAGAGAGAGAGAGAGAGAGAGAGAAAGATAGAGAGAGGAAGCAAAGAGGTTAGAAGGTGGGAGAAATCGAGCTCCGCAAGGGTTAACGCCTTAGCGGCAAGAAGGGCGTTTTTAACGCCTGTTTTGCATAGATTTGAATAGATAAGGTAGACAGGAAAATACGCGAATTAATTTATTATGTATCTCGAGGTGGCAAAATCAAGAAGGTTTAAGACGAAGAGAAGTCTTGAAGGGCTTCCCCCTTCATTTTACAGGCTGCGTGTCAGGCTTCGAATCAACGTCTTTAAGACGCTCTTTAAGTTTCATGGCCGCGAACGCGTAAAACTTAAGACGCCGAGGAGTATCATACTGGAAAGGACAGACAATTTTACGCAGTTAATTTATTTTCAGATTCGACGGAACTGCCATATAATATTGCGGTAATAATGATAATAATTGCGGATGCGAAAAGTGCGATCGCGAAATTCGAAATCGCGTCTCGCGCCGACGAGATGTTCCGTGTAATCGACGTGACCAAATTTAATTCACTCCGCGGGCGCGTCGGCGGCGAAACGTATATAAAGCTACGCTTAAAAGCTCATATTACCCATGACGTCACATTACCGCATCTCGGGAACGGCGCGACCAAAGTACGTAGCACATTTTGAGCACGCTGCTCGATAATACATCATCCCTTAAAGCCCCCGATGGAAGGCACACGCAAAGGCAACTAACCCTAGGGCCGTAACGTTTAAGCTTAACATTTCTCACCCCTTAAAGGGTAACGGCGGCTCCTTGAAACCCTTTCAGCTTCGTCTCCCGCGAGATCTCGTCGGGGCCCACCCCTCATTAGTCTTCATTTGTTTTCGGAATTATCGCCCGCCAGCCGAACCCAACCCGGCACGCGAGTTCCGTCGAAAGGGGGTGCATGGCATTTTCGGGGTTTATTAAATTGAAAATATGTTACGTCCGCTTTCTCTCTGGAAAGAATGCGTGGCGGTATCGAAAATTTTCATCTCATGCGCAAGATGTTTCAAAAAAGAGAGGAGCTGCCAAGTATTCTTAAAATATTTCTCTAAAATATTCCAAAACAAATATATTATATTTTTTTTTTCAATTTATATATTGTTTTAATAATAAAAAACTAACAGAATTCTTTAAAACTTCTTATCTTATCGTGTAATTTTATTGCACAAGTATTTTATCGCTACAAAGACAATAATCTAATCTTTTCTTGCCGTTTATGAGTAAACTATATATATATATATCAACGACACTGATGGAAAATTATTTTTAAGGCCACTACCTAAACCCGATTGCTTCATAACAAGGGAGGAAGAAACTCATAGTCAGTTATTATCAAAGGATGTTCGCACGTCGTGGCCGTCACCTAAGAATCCCGGTGCCTGAAGAGCTTACCGAAGCGGTTCTTATTCATGCTGGCTGCCAACGAAAGCCTCCGTCCGTTGGCCTTCGTAAGCTCGGTGGCAGCGGTGCTTTCGCGCCCGTCTCTTATCGTTTTCTTAATCCCCCTCATAAAGTAGGAGGGCTACGAGAGAGCCTCCCTCACCGGTTCTGGCCTGTTCAGTGTGCCACGCCGGTGTGGTAGGACGTGAGATAGCGCGCGGTGTCCTTTCTGGCGAGCGCGCGCGGCTTAAAGAGAGCTTAAAAATCACCCCTACGACCCCTACCGAGCTTTTTCGCGCCCTACCATCCGGTGTAACGCGAAGGGTGGGGGCGTATGTGCGACCAATGGGGCGATCCGCGTGTCTCGGTGGTTACGCCCTCGTGCCAGTGACCGGACAATTCTCCCCGCTTCGACAAAACTGTTTTCCCCTGCTTGCCACCCCGCCGTAACCCCCTAACTCCACCACCACCACCCCCCTCTTCCCACTCCAACACCCCATCCCACCCCATCCCAGCCCCCTCTCCATCGTATTCGCGCACGGTGGCTTCGCGCGGCAGCTTTCACGGAATTTTTAAACTGCTCCGCACAGATGACGGCATAATCTGTTATTGATCAAGGTCTTTCGAAAAACCGATAACACGTCGATCACCACGCGAGTTGCTTCTTGCACCCTTCTTTTTGCATCGCGCGACATGCCGAAAATCAGTCACATTACATCGCTTATATAATATAAATTGAAAGAAACAATGGTTTCTATTTTTTTGTAAATATGGGTGATAAAAGAAGGGAATTTTGCTCTTTGGCAAATGGCGAATTAATTGTTGTTTCATAAATGAACAAACAACACAAAAAGGCAGCGGTCTGAGATTTATGTCAGTTGGTTTGTGTCAGCCGATCACGATCAGACGAACTTTTTGATGTCATAAATTTAATTGCATTCAAACACATGCTTGCGAGGCCACGCGATATTGGCTATTATCGAAAAAAAGATGATCGATCGTCTCTCTGAATTCTCTGTTGGATAAATTTAACTGTCCATCCACGTCAAAACCGCCTCTACGTCAAAGGGATGCGTTTCTACGACTCGGACTGCCAGTCGATCACCGTTTGCCTGCTGAAAATTATACAACGCCCACCGTGATGCCCAGAAATATGTTACGTCTTGTCACAAAATGATCGTATCAGTCATTTTCAGATACTGTCGTCTACATTGTGTTACTCAGTTCTAAAAGATCATATTCTGTTTGAAAATATCTAATGTATAAGATAGAGAGCAAAAGATTTTCAGATATATACGCATAGACGAATATAAGTATTACCATGTAGGGAGAACGCGAACATCTTCCACTGCAAACATTTCCGTGCGATATGGAGATCACCGTGGCGCGATGACAGCGGAGACGCTGAATAAACAGAATCCTCGGAGACGTGTAATCTGCATTTCTTTGATTGCACAGGATTGCAACACCTGGGTCTTGAGCAAGGAGCGGGCCAGGGATGGGGCGGGTTACCTCGAGGATCTCTACCACCGCACTGTCTTCCACCTCCCCCCGGCCACCATCCGCACACACATCCGCAACCAACAGTTGGTGCATCGGCCTTCAACCCCTTCCACCATGCCATCGAACAAAGATCCCCGAGACTGCCCGGACCTAACGCCGGTAATGACGCGACGTTTTCTTAGCGAGAAATAAAAATTTCGAAGAGAACACATCTTATTTAAATAACACGATCAGCGTTTTCTCAAGCGAGAGATTGAACGATTAATGGGCGTGTAAATTGATATGTCTAAAAGAATCCGCAAGGGGCGACTTGGGTCCTATCAGCGTATCCGTGCGAGAAGTGACACCGACAACGTCACCCGGGAACCCTGGACCAGGTCTGTTGACGACGGCCTCCGTGACGGCGTCGACGCCTCCCGCCGAGTCAACCACCACCACGACGCCCAACCCGTCTGGGCATCACTCACACTTTCAAGGTAAAAATCGAGATACACGCGATCCTCGCGATCCACATGATATCCGTGTTCTTTCATACATGGACCGAAAAAACTGACTGTCTTGTTCGTAACACAGGTCTTCATTTGCTGGGTGCCACGGGATCCATCTTTGGGTCGATATTCGCGCCATTATTACCGCAATCCTCTTGGCTCTATAACCCTCTGTACCACACGCAGCAGTATATCCTGGAGCCGGAATGGCACGCTCTGGCTCTACGAATGGCCCAGCAGCGACTGCAAAGGCCGGATCAGGCCCGATTGGAAGAGCTCAGAAAACTCAGAAGCAGCAGTGACAGTCCTGAGAGCAGTACGAAGGACGAAGAGCGACGGGGAGATGATCAAGGCGTTTTACGTCGATCCGGATTAGATAGTCCCGACGATAGCATCGAGGTAGACGATAGGAACGATCAAGATTTGAATAGAGATCGCGTCAGAAGCGACGAGTCTATACCCGAACAAGACTCTCCAAGAATCTCGCCGATCAGAAGCGACTTGGAGGACGCCGTATCCACGGATGCTACCTTCCAGGAAGCGTCGATTCACTTGCGGCAGAGCATAGAGAATTTGAACGACTCGGATCTTCAGATCGATCAGGATCAGGTCGCTCGTCGCGGCGATCTTACTGTGAAAATCCGTTTAGAGGGCACGGTCGATCTTAGCACGAAGAAGGGTCAGGATAAAGAAAACGTCGGTCAGGATCTGACAACGCGAAGAAAGGAGGATGGAATAGACGTCGAACGGGAAGCCATCAGATCACGAAGAGACAGAAGTCCTAAGCCTAGACAGGTGTGGAGACCCTATTAAGAGTTAAAACTAAATAAGCTCGCTCGGCGAGAATCCATCAAACACGACAATTTTAACGAATTCCATGATCAAGACAAAGATTGAAGTAAATATGATCTGTAGATAAATTTTATCGTGTGTTCTTCCCGGGAAAAAAAAACTTGATTTTGAGAGATAGCGCATGTTGATTGATCTCGTCTCAATCCGATGCTTAAATTCGGAAGCAGACTTTGCACGATGTTGTAGACTAGTAGTTTAGCATTGCTAAGCTATAATGTATCATCATCGTCAAGATTGTTGAAAAATAAATGGAGAACACGCTCATAGGACATCTCGCGCAATGTAACGCGGTGAAACGTCTGCTTGGAAATTAATTATCAAAATTTTCGGACGAATCTTTTGTCGGAATTACTTATCTATCCCTATGCCCGTTGCGGTATCGTCTAAGAACTGTCATGGACTCGAGGACTAACCAGGGTTTACGTTCGCATATAGTATATGTACATATACAATAACCTCCGATTATTATATCTAGGTTAATGTCTCAAATATATGTTAAGCATCATCCTCTCTCGTCATTCCGATTAAGAATACTTAAACCTCCTGAATGTCTCATCGACTACACGAGTGCGCGATTAAAGCGCGCGTGCGCGCGAATACGATGATCCTGAAGAATAATCTTTCTTAGATCAGGATGTGTTTCTCATTCGGCAATCGTTTTTAAATTTTTTTTATTTTCTCCAAATATTGTGTATCATCGATGATTTTTGAAAAAGAAGATGAGTAAAGAAAATATATACTCGTGTAGCAGATGACATTTAGTTTCCCGGTACAAGCAAAATTACGAGTAGTTGACGTTGTAAATACCACAATCCTTCGAATCCTGGCCAAGTCACATCCTCTATCGAGCTGTCTCTTTTTTTACGAGACAACCTTGTTGTCGTTTGAGGCGAAGAGACATTGATATACATATATATATACATGGAAAAACTTTATTGTATAATTATCATTCATAGGATCCACAAATTGTTTTGACGACATTGTATGTATGCGTGACTATTGGCCTTAATCAAAATCATTCATTGTTTAAGTACGTCATCACAAATAAAGTAATATCATCCGTTCCACGATATCGATTTATTCTCTTATAAGATTCTAGATTTCGTCGAGAATATGTCATGTTATTACTGGTAAGTGCAATATTATCTAGTTAAATATTACACAATCACAAAAAATTATTATTTGCAATGACATTATCTCATACCATGAGTATAATAATTTTAAAAAATAGAAAAAGCATATTTTTTTATTTTTGCGCGACAATTAATTATTATATAGCATATTAATAATTCATATAATTAATCTGTAATAATTAATGTCGGTACTATTTTGTAAAAATCTATATATAATCTTATATATAATATTTCTTTGAAACGCATTGCGCACTTGAAATAGTCTTACAGTCGCTTTCGCAATAAAGTGGTGGACAAATTGCAATCGTGTATCGAGCGATCCGCGTGCAACCTAATCCAGTCGGACGAGATGCAGCAGATTCAATAATTCGCCGCGATTGCAATCGAGCGGGATGCACCGCACGCAAAAACGGCCAGGCTCGATATCCGCGCGGTGAAAAGGTCCGCGTGATTGATGGAAAACAGACAAAGCGCTCCCGCCGGCCCCCGCCCCCGCTGACCACCCGGCGTCCCTGAAATCGAGATAAAAAGACCGCAAAACAATTTTCTACATTATTTTCCGATGCGCGCCGAATCAAATGAGCAATAATACCGGACACGTCGCGCCCCCATAAATCTTTCCGCGTTTTTCAACGTGCTTTTCCATATCCTATTTACGCCCCGCGTATCATTCGTAATAATTCCTTACGTCACAATTATCTTAGTGAAGAAAATTTTGACATTTCCTATAGATTTTTCGACATTCGTCAACCAAGACGAAAAAGCAATTTGTACGAGGAGTATGAAATATTTAGAGATATTAGAACTCTTCTGTTAATGCGCGAATAATTCTTGACAAACTTTTACTTTCGCACCGCTAATAAATGCAACGGGCAAAACACGTGTCACTTGTGATACGTGAGTTCCCGAGAACACGAGGAAATTAACAAAAAAAAAGCGCTAATGTTTGCCACGGTTTTCCACTTACTTGCGCCCCCTTTTTTCCCAAAATCCGTATATGTCTATACTGGTCGGGTTATCGCAACAAACTACCCCAATGACGACACGATTAAAATTTCACGGCAAGCTGCGTGAGCTCGAACGTTCTCTCTGTCATTCTCTCCATTTCTCTCTCTCTCTCTCTCTCTCTCTCTCTCGCAACAAACCATCTCTATATGATGCCTCTCTTTACGCGTCCTGACTGGCTGCCGATCGTCCGGTTGCCGCTCTATCCGATCCCTGTAGCCCGGTCTCTTTCTTTCTCTCTCTCTCTCTCTCTCTCTCTCATCCACCCCACATCCCCGTCGGGTGATTGGTACGCGACCGCAGCCACCCCCGCTTTTTAATACACCCGCACCTGCATAGGCTGCACCCGCAACCGGTGAGCCGCTACCGTGTATATATATATGCGACACGGGGTGCATCCAACCCTTCCTACACGCGAGCCGGTGATCCCCCTTACCCCCTTAGCCCCGGCATGGAACTCGCGGCTCTCCCCCCCCCCCGCCCTCGCATCTCTCCCTCGCGTCAACGTCACACTGTACTGAGTGATTCATCGATCGAATACGTATTCGCGTCGTCCCTGCGTCCATTCCCCAAAATAGCGACAAAGACTAGTCCTCTCTCATAGCGCGTAGTTCGTATACACTAAAACCGCCGCCAGCAAGTCGCCGGATATAGGAAAATGCATTTCAGGACAGTTCGCGGCCTGATCGGCTTGATTCTTTCGATCACGATGACGAACGGGACGCGCTTTACGTGTCTTTCACAGATCACCCGACAGATGTATTTTCAATGTAGACAACAATCACTCGCGTTTGACGCTAAATCGACCGAATCGGTTATTTTTCTTCCAAGTATACTTTTTATCAACTAGATCTCTACATTTCTGTATACACTTTTAATTAATGCTTTTAAAAGAACATTTTTTAAAATGTATAAAGAATATGAAGAGTGTTGTTTCATTTGCGTTCTTTTTACGAGTAACGAGTTGCGCACAGTATCGAAATTAAATTACGACCACCAAAGAAGAAGAGATAATAGCAGACACGGACATGTATAGATAAAAAAAAAGGGAGGAGGAGGAAAAACGCAATCGCGGATAGAGTAAGAAAAGGTCGCGCGGATTGCTTAAAGGACGCTCGTTTACCCCTTTTCCACACCGCACCACGGCGAAGGTGTTGAAGCTCCGAGAAAAATATCTCAGCCGTAAATAAATTATAGGAGCCGAAAAAAGTTTACCAGCACGCCGGGGCGTCCGCCGTAGTTTCCGGATAGCGCGACGCCTCGCTAAGAGAAGGTCGGAGAGATGTACTTTAGTACTTTTTGTCCTTCCAAGCTGCCATCGGCCCCGCCCGACCCTCCGCCTTTTCCGTTAGGAGAGGGTGTTCTTTTTTCTTTTTTTTTTTTTATTTTTCCACTACCCTCTCTCGCCGGCCGAGCACTTTAGATAATAAGGCCAGGGCGCTCGCTACGGACGAAAGGGTAAATTGGGTATTCGTCCGAGGAATTATCTCTCTAATTTCTTTAACGTACTAGTCTCTCACCTTCCGTTCCTCTTATATACGTATAATTTCCATCGCACCGCGTGCAATTCCCCCTTTCCCCCCTCTCCCACCACCCCCCCTAACCAACGGATCGGGATAGGCTCGGACCCTATCAATGGATATCAAGAGCCTCTTCATGCTTCCTGAAGATGAAAGCATCGACGACCTGACGGGAAGATTGAAAGATATCCGCCTGACGTAATTATTTTGCCGATTCTTTTGACGCGGTTGTTCCAGTTCGATTCGCCACAATCTCCTATAATTTTATCGTCTTTACGTTCAATTTGACTAGACACTCGACTTGATTCGGATTATGCGCGAATCGAAAATCTGTCTCCTCTTTCTTTGGTATTATATAAAAAATTGAATCCCATCGCAAGGAGTTGTCAATCAAACACCTCGAACACGTGTGCGTGAATCTGTTGGCGATGTAAGACGGGAGATGTAACGAAACCATTACAAGTAGCGCGCCGGAGCTAATAATAACAAACGATCGGCGATGCGAGAAGGGATGGCGATGTAATTCGTACAAATGATAGTTCACGACTATCAGTCGGAGAGGGTGGGAGCCCGGTATCCATCGGAATGGCCCTGAAATTAGATCCCACACCCCTTGGCGCAGGTCCGAGTTCGACAAATTCGGTTAGCCGAGTGAAAAATGAAGCGTTGCTATCGGCGGCCCGGCGGTGAGATTAGCCGGGTCGTTCAATTTCTTTCGCGATAAAAGCCAGACTTAACTCCTACGCGCGATTATAATCACGAGATTACCGGAATTGCTCTTCTCTTTGTATTAATTTTACAAAGATTTCTTCGCGCAATTTTTTTCATAAACATTGGCGCTCTTTTGACATTACAGTGATGAATTTGAACGAGAAGCCGACTCGAGGATTACTTTACAAAGGACGAGCCCGTTGCAACTCTCACGTCACGCGGATCAGATGTCAATGCAGAAATAACTGTAAGAGAAGAGGTTTGTTCCTCCCGTGTGTAGCCTGAAGCGCTCGTCATATTATGTTTGCTTCTGGTGTTTGCGACTCCCCGTGCTCCGGACGACGATATCTCGAATGAGGGGTGGCTCGACGGTGAGGCGGATATATCCCTGTATTTGTTTCTCGTGCGCACGAAATATTTAATGATCCGCGCGATATATGGGATAGTCTATAGTTATTAGGAGAAATATGTTATCCTCGTATCTTTTTTTAAAAAAAAAAAAAAAAAAAAAATACGAAGATAAACGGTAATCTCGACTTTTTGCAAATTGTCTATTTTAAGTATCGCTGAACAAGTCTCGAAATCCTTTACTCTTTTCGCGCGAATGTTCAACGGCAAAACCAAACTTTACGGCAAACCGTGAACGACCTTAATTCCATTTAGCTGCGCTTTCCAAATCGTCGGCAGCATCTTTTCAATGGTGGAGACGAACGAATCGAACGAAACGAGTCGATGAAAGGGGAAGCGAAGCAGGAGGTGGTAGCATCGCCAAAAGCGTAACTCTGCCAAAGACAATATAAAAGTTGGGAGGGTCTCGCGGGATTGGAAGTCGTAAATATCATCTGCTAAATAAAGCTTCATCCTCGAGTACGACTCGGGCGATGGTGAAAACCCCTTTGCACCGCTGGCCGGAGGGGGACGAATCCAAGACAAAGACTCGTAACGCCGACTGACATTAAGGTATTGAAAAGAAAGAAGGGCAAAGCTAAACGACGTCTCTGTCGATAATTTACATTTGTATTTGTGAAATTTTTATCTGGCCTCCATATTAAAAACAAAAATTTTTTTTGTTAAATTCGATAATTTCTTCCTCACGTGTATCAAGTTTCACACACATGTACAGATGTAAAAATTTTAACAGTAGGAGAAAAGATACTTACGCAATTATTCTAAAGCTTCTACGGAGATTGCGAATGACGCAGGATGTAAAATGATATGGCCAGAATTAAAATTTCCCCATCTCTCTCTCCCCATGTGCATCCTAGAAATTTACTCTTCCGCATCGGAGTGTGCCATCACGGTTCGCTCAAGGGCATCCCTTCGCAAGCATCGCGCGAACCATTAAGCAGAAGCGTTTGGCTAACCGAAACAAAAATCCGTCGACGATATTTTTCCGTTCTCCACCCCGTGATAAACGCGAAAGGGAGAGGAGGGGAAGGGTGTCGACCGAGAGGATGGTTGAATTCCGTGCGTGCCAGCACGGACAAAAGACAAACGCCGTCGTCGTCGTCGTCTTTCGTTTGTTTCAAGCGTCATTTGTTTGACGGCCTGGATGGGCTCGCTCGTGGCTTCTCGAGACTCCGAGGGGGTAAAAAGAGGGTTTGCGGCGTTTTCGGAGAGGTAGAGGAGGGGGAGGAAGACGCGGGGTGATATGGGGTTGCGTGGTTAGAAAAGGCCACATTTGAATGTCACCGGA